AGCAGGGAGGTGGCAGTTCTGGTCCTTACTGAGGAAGACAGAGGCAAAGAAGTTATTAAATATGTTGGCTTTGTCATCTGGCGTGACAACTAGATTCCCCGTCTTGTCCTGCAAGGGCCCCACATTTCCTGGGGCCTTCTTTCTACTCCCTATGTATTTAAAAAAGGACTTCTTGTTGATATGAGGCCATGGTTTCCTTATAAGAGACTTGCCTGTGAGAAGGGCTTCAGTTCTTGGACTATGAGAAGCAGGAAGGAGAGGATGTGCCTGGCATGTGATGTGGATCTGAAGGGTGGAGAGTGCTGGAACAGCCTGATATAAGAATCTCTCTGCCGCCCAATGCCCATGGAAGATCACTTTGGTTTCTATAACTCCATTAGGAATTCTGGTGGTACTTACATGAATACCAAGGACTTTGGCAAAGTTTACAAGTTCCCACAAACAGTCCTGCAATCCCCCAGGATTAAAAAATGAGTTGGGCCCTGAAAAATCATGAGGCGTTTGGCACATTCTGACTCAAATCTAAGGGGACTGTTTCAATTCTGTCTGTGTTTTGTTTCATTAGATGCATGCACCCAAGTGACTGCATGAAAGCTAATTATTTTCTGTAGGCCATGACAGAAAATAGCATTCAGCTGTTATTTATTTCTTATTTTGGAGAATAATACTACTTTGGATGTTGCTGATTTGCTTTCCCCCAAATCTTTTGGCTTTCTCATTTCTTGCTGCTCTTGATGCTGGGAAGCAACACATCCTGAATAGCTGCATAAATCTGCATAAAATCTATTCCCGTGCTCAAAGTACCAGAAGGTATCTATCTGCAATTCCTGCACAATGAAACTGTGATGAGAATGTAGACTTTCTGTTCCAGTGTATCTCCACATGGTTGATTATTAGTGGAGGGAATAGCCCTGACACTGCTACATATCTGCAACTTAGACATCAAATCATATGGCAAATTGAGATCAAGCATGAAACTATACTTAGGAGGAGAACAGTCAATAGCACAGTCTCCAGATACCCACATCTTTCCTGCAGAGTAGTACAAAGCCATAGGAAGAACAAAAATTGTTCTCCTCCCCTTATTTCTGTATACAATTATTAGCCTACTTAATATAATATGTAATGATTTGAGCTATGATGAAGAGATCTTGGCTACCATGATCTGGTGTGTCTTTCTAATGACATGTCAACTCCTGCATTTAATGAGAAATATTAAAGCAACATGCTGTTATAACATAATGTTTCTAACCACTGCAATGGCATATTTAGTGAAAGAAATTTCCAAAACTCTTTCTCTCTCTCTCTCTCTCTCTCTCTAACAAACACACACAGGTTTAGAAACAGTGGATCATAAAGGATCTGTTTCACATAACTTAGCACAGATTTAATTTCGAAACATTTGTAAATATTCAGTCAATTAGGCCACTTGATTGGTTGAAGACAGATTACCTTTTGCTATACAAAGGATTCCATTTCTACTTACCGTTTACCATGAGTAGAAGATATTAATAAATATATAATCACAAAGGCATCTTTTAGCCTTCATTATCTAAATGTCAAGTTTCTTGTACGGGTGGACAAGTTGACTTTCTCCTTTCCACACTGTAAAATAGTTATCCTTATTCCATACTCTCTATCTAGTAAAAAGTATTTTTAAAAATTACCCCATTTCTTAGTGAATTTAACCCAGCTTCTCCATGAATTCCATTCACTACCTACTGCAGGTCTATTCACATTTGCAAGATAGAGGCAGAAATTTCTGTAGCTCATAAATAATGTCCTGAAATACTCCCAGAATTGTTCTTTTAAAACTTTATCTTTTTAAATACAAGCCCTACTCATTCAGTTATTAGATTATGCAGCCTTTATACATTATTGTTAACCACAGACATTACTGTGGTAGCAACGTCTGTGGTATGACTGAATTGTTACTAAACCCAAGATTTAAAAATAAACAGAATAATTAAAGTCTGCAGAACTACATATAGAATCTCAAGACTTTTCTGTTTCACTGATCATCACTGTTTTCTTTCTAAAAGGCAAAGTATCTGCTAACTGCAGTTTGCCTGCTGTCCTCAAAGAAGCTTCCAAGTTCCCTTTGTCAGAGAAATAGAGAATGCATTGCATGCCTCTCACAAAAGTGTAGACAGCATGCTCCAAAAGACATAAAATCAAGTCTTGGTCCTACAGAGGGATTTTTATGTAGATTTTGTATCCATTCAGCATCCCCAAGCAGGAGTCCTTGAACTTGGATCCTAAGTAGTTCTGATTCCACATTTGGAATTAAAATAGTTAATGGTGATCTGTTAAAGAAGCTGCAATCTTGCCAGATGATCACCAGGGCTGGATGCCTTGGTTACTCTCAGGAACATTAAGGTCCACCCATCCCAAATAGATCAATCTGTGGGATGAAGACTTTAATTTCTTCCCAGCCAAGCCCAGCTGATGGAATGCTATAGGCATCTACAGGTATGCCAGGTAATTCTGGCATTTACAGAGAGCTCAGTTGGAAGATGATGAAGGTGGAATTATGAACCAGAATGTAACAATAATATCATCAAAATGTTTGTATATTTAAAACTACCTGTCCATCTAAAATACCTTTTTCTATTGAAAAATTCTATGTAATAGAAAATACTCTATATACATCTATAGAAGTGAATACATTATGGAAATCTATGAAAATTTGAAAACATCCTATAGAATTGTGTTCTATACCAAGGATAATATTTTCTATTATATTCTGTTGGATGGTTCAAAAAACTTATTGGGAAAAAAAAACTTACTGGAAAAGTTTTCTAACATATCCCAAAGGACTTTTCCATAAAGACTAATATAGAAGTTGTACATATAGATAGCTCAAATGCAGCATATTAAAACAACTAATAATACTAAACTGAGCCTTTGAAAGAGAGTCCTCAATAAGGAGTGATGCAAAACACTGTGTGTCCCTTCAAAACAATATGCCCATATGGGGATGCATGGCAGAACCCAGGTGCTATAATTGTGAGCATGCTTTTAGAGCATACAGGTGGTGGAGACTCCTTGTGTCATACCTACATGTGCGCACGAATCCAGAGATCCTCTATGGAGCCTTAGATGTGGGTGAGTCGACTGATATTAGGATGCTCTTAATATTCAGGAAATGCTTGGAAACATTCACAATCAGAAAGATTTGTGTGGCTGTGAGAGCTTCATCTGGACATACGGAATGGCAGCACTACAAAACACCAGTGTCTGAAGGTTGATCCACTATTGTTCGCTATAGCTGCCAGTGTCCCAAGGAGAGTAAATGCCATCTACCATATTATTCCCTGGATGTTATTTGTCAACACTGTCAGTTGTTTATCAGTAAAAGGAGATATACTGAAAACATGCCTTCCTTCACTAAAAGAGCAAGACATGCTCTTCAGTCAGTAGGTGAGATGATGGTGCCACAGTGAGGGAAAGCAGCAGTAGCAGAGTAAGGGGTACACTGTTAAAAGAGAAGGTCACAGCAGCGATTCGGCTCATTCATTTTTGCAGACACAGTGGCTTCAGACTGGTAGCAAATCAGGGCATCCAGTGGTTGGCTGTGCCCTGGGAACAAAGCAAAGAAAATATAACAAATAAAAGTAACAGTTTATTTTAACTCCTACTGGAATCAATGGGAATCTTTCCACTGACTTCAGTTACATTCGTATTGAACCCTGAAAGTATAGATAAAAAATAAGAGATGGACAGACTGAAATCTCATTTCCCATAAAACTGTGGTGTTCATTTTGACTAAAAAGAAGAGGCCTGTCTGCTGCAGAGTGGGTTAATGGTCTGTCACTGCATGCAGCATTTTCATAAACACTTAAATGATTTAGCATCCTAAATCCTATTGAAAGCCAAACATCTGAAGGAAGAATCTGAAAAGGGTAGTGTGAATCAGAGTCTAAATCCAACCACTGATTGACGCATAAATCTTGGAACAGTCCTTCAAAACCAGATTTGGCATCTGTAGTTCCTAGAAGTTGAATAGTGCCTGACTGGCTGTTAGCAATGTTCAGCTGGCCAAATTTAGTTGAGTTTTGGTATAGTAGCAATTTATATCCAGCCCCCTTTGCTCCTCAGCTACATAACTGGGCATATTAATCCCCTGTGGGAATTTACAGTGCTGACATTATAATGTGCAGTATATGAGATACAAACATGCTATGCAGCATGCACTACATGCAGTTTGCAAGTGGACTGTTAGCACAAAACATGCAGCATATTAGCTCTCTGATTCAATAAGGGATGGAGTCTCCCCCAAATCTTTTACATGCAAATCAGGCTTCACATTACCCACAGGAAAAATAATTCCTTTATTATAGAGACAAATAGCAACATGTTGATAGAAGATAACAGAAATGTACATGTCAGCATAAAAATTAGATATGCAAATATTAAAATGAAGGAAGCATTTAATAAAAATGGAACTGATCAAACTGTCGCTGATGGAAATTATATGGGCATTTTTCCTTTAACAGCCCTTTTCACTATGACAAAAACAAACTGTCACAAAGAAAAACCACCATCCAGGTACCCAGTGCTTTCCAGTTGCTTTTAGTAGTGGAACCTTTTTCCAAAACTTTGCAGTTAACCTAAAAAAGAAGAGGATAGCATTAGAGCATGTTTTCTGTCATGCAGATTTGTGATCCTTCCCTCTTCTAGCTGTATCTTCCTCCCTGCTGCAGCATCACCCCCTCTTGTTTCAGTCCCTTCCAGCAGAGAAAATATGTTTATTTTAAACATCTGTTTCTTCATTTTCCAGTGTCAGCTTTAGGTTCAGTTTCCCCCTCAGCCTGTCCCATGTCCTTTCTAGCTGCACATGCCCATAATTTTGCCAGATATTTAATATAAAAATGATTACCTTGGCTTCCTGCAAGCTCTGCCACTGCTCAGTGCTTGGCTGCTGCTGAAATCAGTGTGCTCAGTGATGATGTTGGCTGTCTCTAAGCTAAAGCATGCAGTTAAAAGCAGCCTCCAGGAGCAGCAGAGAGTGCTAAAGATGCAGACTTCAGCATTATAGATGCATACTACTGGGATCAAAACACTCCTTTTTCTGTTACTGGGGAGGACCTTCTGTGGTCCTGAGTTGTGTGTTAGAATGGAACAAAGCAAAACAAAAATCCTGTATGTTTCATTAGTCTTCAGAAAATCAAGTTATTAAAATATTCAGCAGCAAATGTACATCTGGAATGTCAGCAGGAATGACACAATTTACCACTTTCTATGCAATGACTATAGAGGTATTATTCCCGTGTGGATTGTAAACTTTTTGGGGCTGGGACTGTCTCTTACAATGTGATTGTGCTGGGAGGCCTAGTTTATAACCTCCAGTACAATTAGCCACCATGTCATTGCATTTGCTTGTGCAAATAATTGCTTTTATAAAGATGACCCTGTGTCCATGCAAATCCAACCTTTTTGTGCAAACAGGTGTGAAATGGATCACCAACTTCCAGATTTCCTTGGAGTGAATTGGCTAAAATCCATTTTTTGTGGATGTAATAAACCCAACATGCATGTAGAAAATGAGTGTAAGCCTGACTGCTCATCCTTGGCATCTTTTTGTCTGTGGGAGACGGTGGATACTGCAGCCTATGACATAGATGCTTTGCCTTGTCTCTCATAATTGAATAGTCCAATCTGAGATTTGCATGATCTGTAGCAGTGGTTGCAAGTGTATGTGTCAGAGTTGGGTGGTTTGGGAACTGCTTGCTTCCTATGGACTTTTTTCTCTTCAAGCTGTTGGAGCCAATTCCCATCAGGGACTTTACTGTCCTGGTGGAGATGGTGATGCCATTTGTTCTGATCACTTGCCATGGTTTCCCATTGGCCAGGATCAATTCTAAATGTCTTCATATCTCACTTGCATGTATCTTTGTAGTGAAGCTTGGGGCATCCTGTTGTTCTTGTTTCCCCGATAGTTCTTTGTATAGCATGTCCTTGGGTATACGTCCATCTTTCAATCTGCTCACAGGCCTACCCAGTGCAGTCATCTCTGTTTGAGTAGGGCTGTAACACTAGGTAAATTTGCCCTTTGAAGAACCTCTGCACTGGTAACTTTATCTTGCCATCTGATGTTGGGTATGTGGTGTATGAGTGACTATGCTCCTCTGCCTTTGATGTCATTTCCTCCATCAAGGTTTCCACTCCCTTCCTCAGGCACTTATCTGCCAGAAGCCATTGGCACTTCCTGAGGTTGCCAGGTTAATAAACCACTGCCCAGAACCTGGCATTGACCAGTACAGGTGGTACCACTTATGGTCATAGAAGTAGTAGGTTTTCAATCCTGACCTGACAGTATTGGTCAGTTTATTAAAATGATGGGACTAAAACTAATGATCTTTGCTATCAAAACTATTCTTTTGATAGTTTATTACTGTAAAAATTCCCCCAACAAAGGGAGACTTCATTAATCAAACTTCCAGGATGAATTATATGTCCAAAGAATTCAGACAAGAAATGGACATCTCTCTGGGAGATGGACTGACACCCTTCCATCAATTCTGGGGAGATATGGAATTGCACTCCTCGGCAGGCATCAGGTATTACTTGAGTTCATCTGGTCCGTGTACAGGCACCCTCTAATTAATTGTATCCACCCAGCTGCTCCAGCTGCACTCCACATGGTGTTGAGTCTCACCCACTCCCTCCAGGGCAGCACGTTGCGCTCCCACACCTGCCCCCCACACCTGCTCCCACACTCCCCACACATACCCCCAATACCCCCCACC